TTAAGGAATTTGAAGCTCGATGTTCAACCCAAATCTGGATCTAAAAAATCTAACTCTAAAATAATTGAGTGAAATTAAAAAATATTGAAAAAACATGTAATAACTTGAATCCATAATGTTGGATTGAGTGAGTTTGATAAATGTTGGTCTTGAGAATCATACCAGTTGAAAAACAAAATCGAAAATGGAATTCAGTTTTCGTATACAATATTATAAATTATTATAAATCATATACAAAATATAGTAAGTGTCTAATGTTGTATATTAGGTGTTTAAACATTATTATATAATATCAATTTTTTCTTCTCTTCTTCTTCTTTTTCTTATCTTTTCGATATATATCATTATGCATTTCATATACCAGTTTATAAAAAGTTATACATCAGTATACAAGTATTGCACACGTGAAATTTAAAACTATTCTTATATATTTTCTTACTTTTTCTTGAATAATCTATGAATAAATTAACCATCCTTGTTGATTTCTCTAACAAATCACACAATAAATTTTATTTTCCCTAAATCCAATTTCATCATATATTTTACTTGACATAACAATTCAATAAATAATAAAGTGTATAATATGTGTTGTTAAAACTATACCAGTTAAACAATACAAAAATAAATTTGATATTCGATATTCGTGAAATTTCAAATCAACAAAAAGGATATGAATTAGTCAATAATAATTTGTATGGATTATAATATGTAATAGGGTATTTCAAATTTTAAGTTCAAATTTTCAACGTGTTAATCAAACGAGAAAAAAATATACTCGTGAGTCTCGTGAAAGTTATCAACATAATAATTGTGATACATAACTTTAGCACGTAATCCACACACATACCATTGCTCATCAAGTGTTTTTATTGTTACTGATATCATACACTTTCTTCACGTGCAAATTAGGTGTTTGTTTCCTTAAAGTCCTTTTTCTCATTTTTATATTTGCATTTACAGTGTGATAAAAATTTTTGGGTTGACGATTATGGACTTATTCATATTAAATGCGAAAATATCGACAAGTATCCTATACTAGTTTAGAAATATTCTAAATAGAACCAATAGGTGCTTCAAATTTAATAGAAAAATTCATATTTTCACGTAAACACATTGTCCCAGAAAGGGAATGAAAGTTGTAGTAATTTTTTTTTCAAATGCTTTTTTCAATTTGGATATATATTATTTAGTAGAGATATTTTTGTCATATACAATAAATTAATTTATATCACTGTTATTTCGATCAAAAGAAAAAATGATAGTATTAACTGGTGGTTAAAACTAGAAGAGAAATATGAATTGGTGCAAATCATATATATTATGTAAACTAGCTAAGAACCTATTAGACCAAGTGATTTGGAGGCCATTTTTTTGAGGGAGGTGGGAGGAGGGGGACACTTTTTGAGATAATTACTTTTTTTATCGGCTGGGGTAATAATGCTACAAAAATTGACCCATATTTTATCTTCTTGCCCACTTTGTATATAATTTAAATTTATTGTTTCACACCTTAACCCAACATAAAAGACTTATAACTTCTTACCTTTTTTTCCTTTTCCCAGCACTCTTCCTTCCTTTCTTCTGTTTCCCGTTCTTTATAAATTTTCTTTTCTGAAATCAATTCTCTGTTGGCCCTCTGTCTCCATTGAAGGAGCTCCAAAAGTTAAATTTCGTTGAAGGAGCTTTTGTCACGATCTAAAATCGCATTGAGCTGTGAGGGCACCCACCATACCCGTAGTGAACCACATTTCTTTATTGACCAATTAATAATTTAATTAATGAGAAAATAATATAAAATAAGCAACTAATGGTTATAAGTACGGAAATAAATGAGTCTAAGACCAAAAACAACTCCAAGATCTGGTGACACTAATACAAGAGCATGTACGAATACCAAATAACTTTAAAAAATTAAAGTCACCATCTAGAAAGAAATAAGACAAGAAATAAAATAAGAAGTCTCTAGAATTCAGTACTGCCGAACAGAAAGTAGCTCACCATGAACTCTTACCGCAACATATCTCGAACCATGTAGCAACTCAAGTACCAATAGTACTTGATTCAGTTCCTGCATGCAAGTGCAACAAGTATAGGGTGAGTACGAAAAACACGTGTACTCAGCAAACTTTGATAACTAACCCTTTCTAGAAGTGATAAGGAGCTATAATCTTAACAATTCTTTTTCAATAGTTGTAAATATACAATAATAATAGTCCACCCCAATAAGATTTTATGGATTTAATATCTAACCATAAAGCAAATAAAATATATATTATTCGAAGTCAGTTATACTACTGATGATATCACAATATACCTCAATATAGTCACCACATCAGCTATACCACTTATTATATCATAATGAGTCTCAAATATAATGAGTCAAACCAATATCACAACCATTTCGACAGTTTAACACTCAACTCAATATGAAATGCAATGAAGATGAAATGTAATGCAATGCAATGTACTGGACAAGAACCTATATATACTTGCCTCCTCTATTGGATAGTCGGGATCCATGGTGGACTCACGAGGTCCAAATACCTGCCGAAACTATTTTTCATCGGCAATCAGACACGCCAAAATTATTTTTCATTGGCAATAACACATGTCGAAACTATTTTTCATCGATAATAACACACGCCGGAACTATTTTTCATCGACAATAACACATGTGGGAATCATTTTTCATCGATAATAACACACATCAAAATCATTTTTCATCGGTAATAACACATGTTAGAACCATTTCCTATCGATAATAATAAACACCAGAACCATTTTCCATCGGCATCACAAGAGTATAAATTTTCATAAAATAACTCAATAGGCACTATTAGTCAATAATCATCATGCAACAATACGAGTGGTATGAGTATGTATGAATAACACAAGTTCACCAACCAACCGCTGCAATCAAGGATCTTCAAGTCGCCATCAAGTATCACGTAGAGCATAAGTCCCAGTAAATCAATCACATCACAAGTTATGGAATATCATCAATTCATATATCAATTTCGTGTAAATTTATCCATATCACGATACTGATACCCATAAATTCATTTAATATTTACAAAACTAACACCTCAAAGAATCAAGAAATTTCTACTTGCCTCAAATCAAAGCCTAAGCATCAAATTACCAATTTGCCCTTCCATAACGCTTTCGAATAATCAAAATCTGATCAAATATATATTCTACATAATAAAATAAAATCACGGACACTCATATTGATATACTTCTATTCGGGACCCAAAAAGTCGATCCAAAAGTCAACTCCGAGCCTGCAAGGAAAAAACTGGAATTTTATTTGAAAATCATGTTATCCATAACGTAAGAAACTCAAATATGAAATTTCATCCAAAACGGAGCTTAAATCGACCTTGAATTCATCAAAATACGATCAAAACATTAGGCTCAAAATTTTCAATTCCATTCTCATATACGGTTTTAAATGATGAAATAATCAATAAATAAAAAATTTAATATCAAAAATCAGTTTACCCATAACATAAGAACCTTAAAATCAAGTCCTAATGAAATGGAGTTTCTCCGTTGCCAGGGATCGAATCCGGGTCACCTACGTGATAGGCGGGGATACTTACCACTATACTAGAACGACCTGTTAAAGCAAAGAAATATGATTTCTAGATCTAGGGAGAAAACCCCCAAATTTTCCTCCAATAAATTCACAAATAAAAATAAAAACAAACTGAAAAAATTATGAAAAAAGTACCAAAATAAGAATTAGATACTTACCCCCTCGCTTTTACGAGAAAAAAGCCACAAAAAATTGCCTCAAATGGAGCTTTAGAACTCAAGATATGATGAAAATACCCAAAAATTGCTATCTTTAATTTAATACACTGTCTAGCATTAAAAAATGATTCTGGTCATTAAAAATAGGTCTTCTATCACTAATAATCAATTTTTTTGGCCGCTAAAGACGTGCACCAGATCCCTTTTTGCACCAGCAATCCATGTTTTTACTAAAATGGTCATAACTTCATCATATGAACTCGAAATGCGACGATTCTTTTTCCTATAATTTTTAAATAATGATACGGGCCTAATTTTTTAATCAAAATTTCATTTCACACTCATTTCAAAAGTCATATATTAACTTTAATCGTTTAAAAATTATTTCATCTTTTGTGATAAAAATCCGATCTTGACTTATCGAAATTGCACCAAATTTTTTAGATCACTCATATAATTCATTCTAAGAATTTTGAAAGTCTCAGAATAATTTTTTAATCTCTAGAAT